CGGCTGCTTCCAAATAGAGCACATTTCATTCATAATGATGTAAATCCAAGTCCATTATGTATTCATGCGACCGTGGCTCAGGGGGTTGGGAAGCGTATCTGTAACAGGAAGGTCGCTGGTTTGATCCCCGGGCTCTTTTCTTGTAATTTCATAAACTGGCCTTGGACAATAGGTCTTTTAAAGTTTTTGTTTGGACACCTTTTTCATTCTAATCCTTGTACCTGTGCATACCTACAGGGAGTGCAGAATTATTAGACAAGTTATATTTTTGAGGAATAGTTTTGTTATTGAACAACAACCATGTTCTCAATGAACCCAAAAAACTTATTAATATCAAAGCTGAATGTTTGTGGAAGTAGTTTTTAGTTTGTTTTTGTTTTAGCTATTTTAAGGGGATATCTGCGTGTGCAGGTGACTATTACTGTGCAGAATTATTAGGCAACTTAACAAAAAACAAATATATACCCATTTCAATTATTTAATTTTACCAGTGACACCAATATAACATCTCCACATTCACAAATATACATTTCTGACATTCAAAAACAAAACAAAAACAAATCAGCGACCAATAGAGCCACCTTTCTTTGCAAGGACACTCAAAAGCCTGCCATCCATGGATTCTGTCAGTGTTTTGATCTGTTCACCATCAACATTGCGTGCAGCAGCAACCACAGCCTCCCAGACACTGTTCAGAGAGGTGTACTGTTGTCCCTCCTTGTAAATCTCACATTTGATGATGGACCACAGGTTCTCAATGGGGTTCAGATCAGGTGAACAAGGTGGCCATGTCATTAGTTTTTCTTCTTTTATACCCCTTCTTGCCAGCCACGCTGTGGAGTACTTGGACGCGTGTGATGGAGCATTGTCCTGCATGAAAATCATGTTTTTCTTGAAGGATGCAGACTTCTTCCTGTACCACTGCTTGAAGAAGGTGTCTCCCAGAAACTGGCAGTAGGACTGGGAGTTGAGCTTGACTCCATCCTCAACCCGAAAAGGCCCCACAAGCTCATCTTTGATGATACCAGCCCAAACCAGTACTCCACCTCCACCTTGCTGGCGTCTGAGTCGGACTGGAGCTCTCTGCCTTTTACCAATCCAGCCACGGGCCCATCCATCTGGCCCATCAAGACTCACAATGATCTTGTCACACTGAAGTGGACGCGCAACGAGATATCATAGCGTGGCTCAAGCACGTTCATCACAGTTTAAACCCCTTGTTTTGCACAACGGAATACGGCCTGCAGCTAAACACCCCAATAGCTTTTGTAATAGCTTTAGCCCGGTCGGATTGGGCAGCAAAAGGCTGCTTAAATGCCGCAAACTCCTCTGCTCCACCACTTGGACCGCTAGTGCTGACCATAACTATTGCTTGACAGACTGACCACGTGCACCATACACATACTTTTTTTTTCTTTTTCGAATCTTTGGATCGAACCGTGGAGTGGGATCGGTTCGGATTTCGGACCAACCGTGATCCGTTGCACCACTAATACCTACCGCATTAAAATAAAAACTTTGTACCTCCATAATGACTTGTGAATTCATTTAAGAATGTATTTTTTAATTCTGTTATTTATTTAAACATTGCTAAATTAATGTATTGTATAGTAACTTTATTTAAACTAGAAACAGAAAAAAAATCAATATTTCAAAATGAAATATCTGTACCTATTATTGCTAAATAGTAAATTAAATACCCTGAATAAAAACCTAATTTCATACAACAACATTTTCAAATTTCAAATTAAATAACAGATTTTCTAAAATCTTTTTTTTTTTGAATTGGCAAATGAACTGACTTTTAGATTAACTACCGGATTAGCTCCTACACTTGCTAACAGATTAGCTATCCCATCTCTCTGACTGGTAGTGGTGTGCGGATTAATACTGAAACATCACTTCCTCCAAAACCAGATATTTGTGTTATAGAATCAATTATCATATTAAAATGTGGATATTTTAACAAGGTGGGAGTGTCTAAATAGTTGGTAAGAACTACTACTTCTTCCGTCTGTCAATGGTATGCAAAATACTGCTGTGTAAATGTGTAACGGCTCACGTGTGCTCACTCGGCGACAGCGACGTGTGGCACTGTTGCTGAATTTTGGAAAAAGACTCAGGTCAAGGCTTAGGTTTTTGTGCTGATGTTTAAACAATGGGAATTCATATCAATAGGAACTCATATTCAATTGGCAGTCCTGAGTTGAGGTAATAGTTATATTAGTTATGTAGTAATAGGTATTAAAGGTGAAGGAAAATCTTAACCTTGTTCAGGAAATCTAAAATAAATTGAAATGCGCACAAACAAGTTGTCTTTGTGAGGTTTTATTTTCCTTTGCAAAGGGGTCAATCAATACAGAGTAATACAGAGTCAGAAAGGCTTTTGACCAAGAAGAAGTACAAACAGAAATACCCACTATCGTCACAGAGTACAATCAGAACATTTCGTACAAAAGATAACTTGTACAGTTGAGGATATTCTGTATTAAAAGAGTATATAGAGATTGTTGTAAATAAACATTGTGCTAGAGTCTTAAATCACACTTATTTCTTCATATTTTGCTACCCAGGAGAAAGACTGTCGTATAGTTTTATAAAGTAGTTTGGAGCAATACTTCTCTAGGCTCTGTGAAGCTCTTTCATTGCCTTGGAAATGAATGCATGGCCTTATATTGGCATTTTCCTGCACTTTCAATCCAGTTATTGTACCTGACTGCTTTCAGAATTATGTTTTTCATTTGTTTGCTAAGCCACTTAACACTGACCTATGAATCAACTTAGCAAATCTGTATCTTTAGGCACTTTACTACAATGGCAGCATGTTGCAAAAGTACACAATTTGTTCCCATTTCTGAATCTATATTACAAAAACTAACAATACAACTGGACTGACATAAAATATTTTTTGCACCTAAAATGTTATTCTCAAGGAGCTATTAGCTGAAAACCAATAAGAGCACAATACACACCATGCACGTTGCATGAAAAATCAAGGTCCTGGTTCCGACGCCATTACCGCAAGCACTTTTGCAGTGTTGTGTTACATATTTTTACTTAAAGGTCAACAAGAGCCCATGTGAATTTAATGAAGAACTAGATGCATCTGATGCAGGGACAGGAGTGCGGTTTTCACAGTTTTTTGTAAAATTCCATATTCTTGTGCCTTTTTTCAATCACTGTCTAAACTAATCAGAGTGTAACTAGTAAATGGGATTCCCAAGTGCAGCATCATCTTCAACACTACCATAGACCAGTAGTGTTGATACTTGAATAGCTCTACTCAGGACTGCAGACCAAAGCAAACATCACCTTACGACCATGGCCTGTACCTATGACTCTGGTAATAGAGTTTGGTTGTCCTCAAAAGATATTCCATTAAAAATGGAATACACTGTGCACAACATGGGATCTGTCAATGTCTGGGATACACGTTACTGTTTCAGTTTAAGTATCATGCCACAGCTGATGTTAACGTAAAAAGATAGCTAGTAAGTGAGGATGAGCAGATTTAGGATTAAAGAAAGGTGAGATAGAGTCAACATTACATTGTTATTGTTTTTTTCTGTAACAGTTCCTCTCATTGAATTCACAGAGTTGGTTTCAATAATTTCCTGTTTATACCACTGTTATGGCACAAATAATCAGAATCAACAGGGACAACTTCAGCTCTACAAAAAATACTTGTAATAGGCACTTTTAGTTACTTTGTTGTGACTGCTGACAAATGAAAGAAGGAACTCTACCAGTTCTCTTTTCAAGGAATGACGATAAAATCCACACCAAGACCTAATGCGTGCGAGCATCGGCAGAGAGCACTGCATTGTTCCTGACAACAGATAAAGGTACAACCCTGGTTTCAAATTCAGTGTTTTGCAGGCTCAGACAGGCACATACTTTTCTGCCACTCCTTACTTCCTCATTCATTAGTTCCTCAGTTAGCACATGTTTTCTCTAGATCCACAACAGCACAGTGCAACAGCGCAACAGTCCAGAGTTTCAGGAGTTGCACAAATTGGACATACAAATTGGACTCTCTATAGAAAGCAGAGTCCAATTTGCATGTTTCCCTGAGAGTCTCCCCATTGACAAACAGTCTGAACACACACAAGCATATTTTATGTATGATCTACAACAGCTCTGAAACTCCAGAACAGCTTCAAACATCTGTTATACGCAGAGTACCCTAACTAACCCTAACATACATCTTTTTTTCTAAGAAAACAAAACCAAAGTCAAAAAATAACAAAACAACCAAGAGATGCTATAACAATAAATAAATGACAAAAAATGAACTGAACTGGAGATTTTAGTCTTAGAGCTGAAAGCTGAAGCTATAGCATGTTCCAACTACACTTTTCACATGCAGTATATTCTAAATAAACGAAACTAAGACCAAAGGAAACAGTAAAAAAAAAGTAAAATAATTTTGAAAGAATAAATAACAATAAACATACAGAAATAAACACACAAAAATATTCTTTTTTTATAAACAATGAAAGTTTTGATTCACTTTCATATTTTTTAGCACCATGTTTTTAAAACTTACATAGTGGTACACACTCTTAATAATTTATAACAGCTACTTTTGACTAGTTACTAATTATTATACATTTTATTTTGCTGTAATTTAGTGATGATGTATGTGTCGCAACATTTTTTTCCACTGCATTCAGGCACTGTTCTAAACTTTTCCCAGAGAAAAATAAATGACTATAACTGATGATACATTACAGCAAATAAAGTTGTAGTAATTTAGATACGATTCATGCATGTCCAGTATAAACTGTTTGGGGTCCAGCACTGAACCGTTGAACCCCACAGGTAACCTTCAGTAAATTGAAATCAAAGTTAAAATAGTTAAATACTACAGTATCAATTAGTACATACATCTGTCATCAAAATAACTGTTTACCTTTGTAAATGTTAGATAGCTAACATTTTTATAATTTTCCTATTTTATTCCCAAATAAATGAAATAAATCTTAAATTTTATTTAAAAATGTACTAAAAAACACTTTACTGCTCTCACCTCTCTATGCAGAACTTTAGTTTAAAGTGTGCACAGACGATCTGAATATTAGTTCAGGTTGTGCTCAGTGCATGTGCCAAGTGTTCAAACTGACTGAAACAGACATTTGAGCGCTCACAAACTCACAGTAGTTTTACATATTTGTCAATGTGACTTTTCATTTGGTAATGACCTTATTACTGTGAGTTTCATTTGGAAAAGCTTCATCAAGAGATGAATCACATTGACTGAACAGTGAACAGATTCACCTTTGCCTTTTCATTCAGATGACATAATTCTGTCTGTTCTGTCTGGCACACGGGAAGAAGCTTCTGATGGTTTTCAGCCAGCCCTCTGTAAAGAAGAAACACAGCATCAGGTCAGATCAGAGTCCTGACCAAGACCAAGATCACGTGACTGTGTGTAGTTAGTATGAAGGACAGAGGATAATGAACACTCACATTCAGAGCTGTTTTTCCTGTTTCCTGAAAACATCTTTGCTGAAAACAATTACTTTGTACTAAATATAGTTATTACTTAGGACTGTAGTTTTATTCTCTATGATTTCATCTACAAAAAAAAACTCTTCCCACTTCATGACTGTTACTGGAGATTAATGCTTCAGTGGGAAATCTGCACAATTGCAACTGCAAACCATTCTGAAATGCTATGAGGTAACCCATTTTGTAACCTGATGTGCTCTTCCCTACAAATGTAACTGCCTGTTGCATAAACACAGCTCACAACTGCTGTCACTTTGCACTTTTGTAGTTTACTACATAGGTTCTAAGATTAATTGCAAAAGCCTGCATCCTGTCTCTCACACTGCTGTTCATGTCCTGTATAACTCATCAGTTCTTCAGAGTTTTTTTTTATGTGAAGCGAGACCTTCACAGACAATGTAATAATATCCTAAAATGTGACTGCAGATGTTTCATTGAAACAAAGCAAGTTAACACACTAAGGCTACGTTCACACTGCAGGCGAAAGCGCATCAAATCCGACTGTTTTGACCCTATGCGACCCATATCCGATCATGGTATGACAGTGTGAACAGCACAAATCCGATATTTTCAAATCCAATCTGGGTCACTTTCATATGTGGTACTGAATCCGATACATATCTGATGTTTCAGAAAGCGACTGCTGTTTGAATGGTCATGTCGCATTAAATCCGTCTTTTACGTCACTGACACAAGACAGACGCCAATTATCAGCGCCGGAGAAGCGCCTGAAAAGACATCGCGAACGCTTCCTGGCCATCCAGTGTAGATGTTAGTAAACTGTTGGGAAGATTTTGGAGAAACGTGAACATTTTATTTGTACTGTATAATCTGCAGATTCTGACAGAAATCTGCAACTTTCCTTTGAAGCACCGCTCCGCTATAAAACAGCAATAAGGATAATTATTAGGCCATATGTGAATAACAAAAAAACTTAAAGCAAAATTGGGAAACGTAAAGTCCGAAACAAGTCTTTTATTTTATCGGCCATCAGTCAAACAATACTGTTTGGTCTGGATCTAAACAGAGCGCGTTGTGTGTGACGTCCTCAAAGGGCCGCTTTGAGGGTTCACACAGTAGCGTGTTTGCTGTCACATTTTATTTGTAGTGTGAACAACCTGACAAAAAAAAATCAGATTTGATCAAAAATCGGAATTGAGCATTAAGACCTGCAGTGTGCACGTACCCTAAGACATCATCAGGATCTTTCAAGCTCACATCCTCTAATACTGACCTTTGACCCAGAGTGCCACTACTTTCTGTTTCAGGGCCTTTCCATGCGTGTCATACATGGTGCATATGTAAACACCTCCATCTTCAGAGCGAGGATCTGACAAAGTTAGGCTGGCGTTTCCTGTAATCCATGGATTTTTCTTCATCTCTATGGGCCTGTGTCAGGTACGTCTTGACTTTTCCGATCCTTCTCATACACGACCTTCATTTCGTCTTCTTGGATATGTTTCCACTCCACTTTGGCGGTCTCCTGATTCTTCAGTTTTTTGGATATGAAGGGTAGCAGGACAGACTCTGCTCCCTCTGTCACATCAACAACTTTGAGCTGGCAGACTGAGGGAACAGAGCAGAACATGAGCTGTGCCAAACAGAAACTGTAAATCACATTAAAAACAAACATTTGAAGTATAGTTGAGACGAAAATCAGTGTTCAAAATGTTTTAAAAAATCAGTTTGAGGAATAATTGCCATTAAGTCAAGTTATTTTGTGTTCAACTATTCAGACAAAAGACAATTGAGAGGTTTCACAGAGGTATAGAAAGAGCAAACTGCACAAGACATCAAAACTGATTTAAAAACATTAGAAATGAGATGAGGCTACTTCTTTATATTCTCTCACTCACAATGGGTTTCCTTTAATTTTTCATTTGGCAGGTTTGAGATGCCAGGAATATCCACAAAGAGAACTCAGATAGCACAACAAGAATATACAAACTCCACTCAGGAGTTTCCACTCTACCCTATTTAGTCCTCATTGTATCTGTATGTAGACATAGCTCCAGCATACCTTTGTCTTTTGTCACAGTTTCTGTATTGTCCTCCTCGGGTTTCTAATCCTTGTTTTGTTCATTGTTTTTTTTACCCTCGTGTTCTTTTGGACTTCTTTTGGCTTTTTGGATTTCAATGCTCTTTGAATTTGACTTTAATAAAGGTTACAATACCTTTCTTTTTGTTCTTTTGACATGAGGTTTAAATCCTGCATTGGGGGTCTTCGTTGAGAGAAATGTGATTTAATGGCACTGAGAGGTCAGTAGCTCTTTTCTGGTTGATTGCACACGCATGTTTTGGGTCTTTGCGGGGAGCCTGATGGAGGAGAAGTGTTTGAGGCAACCTGCGTTTGGCTCTTTCACTTCTCTGTTACCATCTTGGCAACACTGTTTAATAAAACTGGTAAGTTGAACAGATGCAGGCTCCATCTTTCAAAAAAACATCTATTAGGAATCACTTATTTCCATGATGTACAGAGTTTAAGCCATAGTACATTTACTTTTGATAATTGATGTCCTTTTTATACAATTTTATGTGTATTGGGGTGTTTTCATGGTGTTTTATTGTTCGAAATGGTTTTAAATAAATCAAAATTAAATAAATAATTACATGACAACTATAAAGGTAATAATATTTTACAATTCTGCAGCCAAGAAGAAGTGCAGAAAGCATCATTTCTGGCAGTCTTCCTATAAGTGTCACCACACACCGCTGCTGGACAGGCAGAAGGAATGCTGCTCAGGCTGATTCAGCTCTGCTGCCAGAAGGATAGATACAGATTCATACCACACATTTTTATAACACACCTGTCCAACAGAGACAGGTGTGTTATAGGTTTACTCTGTCAAGTTATCAATAATAATTTCCAAACGGATTTCTGGGGAAAATAGAAAAATTTTATCTTGTTTTTATATCCAGTCAGAACATGTAGTAGTTGTGTTATGGAACGGCTGTGTGCAGGCAGGAATGGTGGACCCAAAGTGCAGACGCTCAGAGGCACAATGTAAACTCAAAAACAGCTTTAATGCTGAACTCAAAAAAGGTACCAAACCTCAGACTCCAAATAAACTCAGACAAGCAGACAGAACACACAGCATAGAAACCAGTAGATCACAACACAGACAAACTGAAACACGGGGCTTAAATACACAGAGGGAGCAATCAGGGAATGGGTAACAGGAGGGAAACACAGCTGGGGCAAATCAGGCCTAACGAAACAGGGGAAGCAAAACCAGATACATTAACATCAGACATGGACCTTCAAAATAAAACAGGAAACAACACAGACTGAACTAAAGACAGACTCACACGCAGGCACTGCAACAGAGGGAACTGAGACGTAAACCATAAGACAGAACACAGACAAAGAAACCAAAGACTAGAAATGATAAATAATATAATAAATTCAAACCTCTGGGTCAACGACCCAGGCATCCTAACGAGTTGGGGCTTCTGTAGAAACTTTGCTCAGTGACATCAAATGTAAAACTGAAACTGTAAGTACCGCTCCTTTAGGAGCAGGCCAGGTATTCAGCATTTGTTACTATAGTGATCTATAAAGGGCCATCCACCCACTCACACACTACTACACCCACCTGCTGTTTTCTTCATCCTTTGATATACAAGACACATGAAAACACTAATGCCAATAGCCAGGACAAGCACCGGAACCAGGACCGCTGGGAGAACTTTGGGCCAGATTGGAGGAGGAGGAGGACGCTCTGTAATGAACACAAACACAACCTGAACATGATGCTGAATGTTTTGAAGAATTCATTAATAATTAATATGAATTCACTGATAATAACCATGCTAATTGAAATGAATTCTAGTATGACCTCTGCTTCAAATGGATTTAAGATTTTAAATCTTATTTTGATTGTTTTTATAATGATTTCTGCTGATGAAATCATAGTTATATGTTGGTTTATCCTTTTTAAACAGAAGTCTGACCTTGGCTACGTTCACACTGCAGGCGAAAGCGCATAAAATTAGACTTTTTTGACCCTATGCGACCCGTATCCGATCATGGTATGACAGTTTGAACGGCACAAATCCGATATTTTCAAATCCAATCTGGGTCACTTTCGTATGTGGTACTGAATCTGATACATATCTGATGTTTTAGAAAGCGACTGCTGTTTGAACGGTCATGTCGCATTAAATCCGCCTTTTACATCACTGACACAAGACAGACGCCAAGACAAGATGGCAAGACATCATGAACGCTTCCTGGCTATCCAGTGTAGCTGTTAGTGAAACTGTGGGGAAGACAACATTGGAGAAACGTGAACATTTTATTTGTACTAATTAATCTGCAGATTCTGACAGAAATCTGCAACTATCCTTTGAAGCACCGCTCCTCTCTAAAACAGCAATAAGGATCATTATTAGGCCAAATGTAAATAACAAAATAACTTTATAACTTAAAGCAAAATTGGGAAATGTAAAGTCTGAAACAAGTCTTTATATTTACGGCCATCAGTCAAACAATACTGTTTGGTCTGGGTCTAAACAGAGCGCGTTGTGTGTGACGTCTTCTTTTACGCTTTGAGGGCCGTGAATGGTTCACAGTAGAGCAGGTTTGCTGTCACATTTTATTTGTAGTGTAAACAACCAGACAAAAAAATCGGATTTGATCAAAAAATTGGAATTGAGCATTAAGACCTGCAGTGTGAACGTAGCCTTTGATCTTCTCTGGTTATGTTGACTGTTCCTGAAAGCCTTTCATCTTTGTAATGTTGAATGGTCACTTTTCTCTCTGGTCACTCTCTAAGGGGAATCTACAGCACTGACCTTTGACCTTTAGTTGCACTTCAGTCTGGTTCTGTTTTTCTCCAACCTTGCGTACGGTGCAGGTGTAGAGTCCACTGTCAGAGAATGTAGGTTTTCTCAGAGTGAGGCTGAGGTCTCCGGTCTTCAGGGCGTCCTTTTGAATGGATGTTCTGTTGACGTATTGTTTATTTTGCTCTGTAAGATAATCACCTTCCTCTGTGCGAACATGGATGATTGAAGGATTCAGGTCATCGCGTCCCCACACAACTACACCCTCTTCAGCTGGAACGGGAAGCTGGCAGAGCAGAAGGACAGACTCCTCCCCCTCATACACCTCGACTCCTGAGGCATACTGGGAAACTGAGGATGCAGAAAGAGGTTAAATCAATCTGAGTTCCATACTAAACAAACAATGTGAGCCGGTGTAGAATTATCTGTAGCTCAATTGTGCAAACACATGAAAAGAAAGTCCAGCTTTCCTGTTTCTATTTTGAAATTTAAGAAACTACAAAACGAAAACGGTAGTGGGTGAACTTCTGTCCTGAGTTCCTGAGGCTAAAAAACAGACTGGAGATCAGTTTCTGAAAGCAGGTCTGAGTTTTGTCATAGTTAGGGGTGGATCAGGTGACACTGACTCATTCCTTAGTTATGAGGTCAGGCTGCTGGAGGCTTCCCATGATGCATTTTTCCTCCTTTCCCATTATTTTCATTCCCCGTGCATTTATACACCACTACAGGATGTCATTACCCTTGTCTTTTCTCTCCCTTTTTTGTTGTTGTTTTTCTTCCTTCACACAGTCACCAAGTGCTGGTCATAGGGGATCATCTGACTGTTGAGGTTTTGATTCTAATACTGTAGGTTCTTTACAATATTAAGCTCCTTGACGTGACTGTTGTTCTGAACTAGTGGTATATAAATAGGACAGAATTTAAATGAATTATTTTAATGTTTAAAAAACAAGTGGAAAAGTAGACACAGCTGAACTGAACCAGAATTGCAAAACTAGATTACAAAACTAAGACAGAACCTATAGAAATAAGCTAGAAAATATCTACTAAAAACAAAACTGAAAAAACATAACAATATACTAACTATGAATCAAGCAGGAATTAGTCAACAACAAAGAGAACTCTTAAGTCCATAACTCAGAGATGGAGGACCATGACAATGTCACTTATTCAATATAACTATAGTATAAATCCTCAGAGGTATACACACAGTATGAAAACTCTGTCAGCACATGTAAAAACATGCAGGAGGAGCACAGGTGTGTAAATCAAGGAAAATAAGGAAATTTCCTGCCTCAGAGCCGCAGCGTGACATTACAGTAAGTACTATTAGTCAATATACAGCGATTCTCTGATGTTCATGCATTTTCTTTTGCGACCTTTAGATGAACAGAAATGTTAGTTATTGATTATAAATATAAATACAATTAATTTAATAAACATTAATAAACTAATGCTATGCTTTATACTGACATATAGAGAACACAGTCTGTTCAGGACCAAGTCTTCTGCCTAATATCATAATGTTCCACATGCATTGTAATTTAATGAAATATATTTTCAAGTAGCCTAATAAATGTGTCACTGCATGTACATCATCATCATCTGTCAAGTAAGAAAAGCAAAGTACAATTCAGTAGGCCAGGTTTCAACAGCATTGATGCTTATTGATGACCTGGGGTCCCCAGTTTCACAGCGGCAGGGGAAACCCAGTACAAAATGCATGCACGCAGTCGAGCAGTGGACTGGCAGGATTTTAATAGGCTACCGACTTTAATAAATACCCAGTATGACACTGCACAATACCAGTACATTGGCATGTGCGTATTTACGCAAATGACACAGTTACTGTGTAATGCGGATGTGTCCGCCGCAGATCATGTTTTGTTCTTCTGCACTCTGCGCAAGTAATCAACCCATATTTGAACGCAGAGCAGTCCTGCTTCGACCTGAGCTATCAGTTATATCTGTGTTGATATCTCTGTGAAAAGCGGTGGAATTTAAATATTTACCCAACTGTAAGTGAGGGAGAGGGATGACAGAGAGACAGAGAGGTAATGAGGAAAGAACGAAAAACGTAAGAAAACACGCACACGGGAGGGAGCCGAAAGCAGCGATTAAGAACTGATACAGATGCTCACACAGACGACTTCATGTTCTTAACTTCATACTGGCATTTTAACAAGTTATATCTGAGTAATCTTAAGTTGTTACTGTGGTGAAATAACGTGAACTGGACGTGAAGAATCGCCACACTCGGTGCGTGTGTGCGCCAAGTGAGTATTTCAACTGTTGACTGATCAAACTGACAGAAACAGAAAGAGGAATAAAGGTGATGTTACCGAGCAGGAGGGAGACAAGCAGCACGGTTATCCTCATCCTCCTGGAGGACTCCAGTTTAATCTGACTGACCGAAGAACCAGATTAAAGTGACCGAGAGGAAGAAAACAGATGAACAGACCTCCTTCACCTTGCACTAGTTTATCGCCCTTCCCACAATGAATCCACCTTTACTTTCGGTTGAACCGGAAGTCTGATGCTTTCACAATACAATACAGTTTTTAAATTATGTATTAAGTAATTTCACTAAAGAATGTTCTGGGCTTTTATAAAGTCAGTGAATTCACCGCATCATTATATTTGACCGATTCTTAGTATTGTTATTCTAACTGTTTGAGCTTTAGTAAAGACGCTGGATTCGTGATTCTTTGTAAGCATTTGCTGTAACTGAAGAGACATTACATGCAAACAGCATGACTCAGGGCTGGGGACCCGCACAGTCCCGTCTTAGACATTTTTACTGGTGCATGCGCAGTGCACTATTTGCTTCGAACAGATATGGGAAACCCCCGTTTTACAATAACACTGGTGAGATGTTCTTTCTTTAGCTTAGGACTGTATGACTAACGACATCTTCAGCATAATGCATTAACAATAGATTCTAGTTTATAGCATTTTAGCTTGAAAATAATCATTCACTTCAAACCTGAAACTCTTTCACTGGTAAGAACATAATCAGCATTTCACTTTGTCATCATCAAGTTACATGTAGTTTCCACGAATAGCAATAGCTTTTTTAAACAGTCCATCTTCTACGCCTTAGTGTTCATACGTGGAGTTTTGGCTTGCAAACTCTCCCAGATCATCTAATGTAAGAACTGCCAGCCAGCTGAGAGGACTGTTCAGCCATCTACAAGCCTTTTTTTTTTAAACCATCTGGAAGTTGTACCTTTGCAGTCTCAGCATCATACGCTGCAGTCTGGCTGGAGCTGACTGTATGGGCTTGTTTAGGATTGTGACTGATGATCAGTTTAGATTTGGAGCTGTGACGTTTTCTAATGTGTGGGCATCTCATTAATTGCTTTGGTCTTCACTGGATCAGGCTTTAAGCCTTTGCCTGTGAAAACACGTCCAACATAACAGGCTTCTTTGAGTAGGATTTGCACTTTAGGGGGTTAAGTCCCAGTTTGACTTCCCTCGCACGGTTGAGTACCATTCTGAGATTCTGTTAATGCTCTTTCATATCTCTTCCACCAGTGATTATGTCGTCGACGATGACAGCACAGGGGTATCCAGCAAAGATCTGCTCTACTGCACTCTGGAACACCTCACTGGCTGAGTTGATTCCATATGGCATTCTGAGAAAGCAGAAAATGGAGAGTTGAAAGTTGTGAGCATGGATGACTTGAAGTCAAGCGTTATCTGCCAAGAGGAGCATTTCACATCCAGGACAGAAAAGACTGTGAAGTTAGGCATTTGTGCGCCCACTGCCTCTATGGTACGCATAGGGTGATGCAGGCGTTTCAGAGCTTTATTTAAATCTCTTTGATCAATGCAGTGTAATGTCATCTGAATTTTAGAGTAGAGGTTGTACATCTTGATCCACTACAAAGAATTGCAGAGGGTATTCCTTGTCTCCAGAGTGACACGAGCGTTTAACTGTGCCAGCTGTTTGACTTTTCTCACCTCCATATGTCACCAGTTTGGTTTTCTGTGATAGCAGGAGTTTTCCATCTTGTTTCAGTTGTGCAAAAAGGTCAGCTGGCGTGACATTACATTTAGTGCCGCTCTATTGGTTTTCTATTAATATGCACAGCGGTGAATATGTCATTCCTATACAGAAAACAGGGATTCACAGAGTCTACATTGACCCCATTCACAAAGAACATTTCCTCATCACTGCTGGGCGCTTGCATCTCAACACTGTTTACAGATCTCTTTTTAAATCCCCTTGTTTGTGATGACTTGCAGCATTTCTGGAAGTGATTCCATTTTTGCATTTATGACATTACTGCCATATGCTGGGCATTTATCTCATTTTGCCATGTGGCTTCCTCCACAGTTGTTACAGTTAGTTATTGCATGTGCAGCACTCTGTTCTGATTGTGTTGAATGCTATTCCTTTCCTTACACAGTTTCCGGGTCTACACTAACCATACATTTACTTACAGAAATACATCTTTATCGTATGTATTTCTCCTCTTTGTTATTTATTCCTGCACAGCTGGCTTGGATCACCCATAATTTCATTGTACATGTACAATGACAATAAAGGTCTATTCTATTCTATTCTATTCTATTCTATTCTATTCTACATTTAACATTTAAATATGAATAAACGTATACTGATATGGAGTCAGTTCATTAAAAGTCACTTATTTTCTCCTTCATAGTTTCAGTCGAGTGTTTAACGGTGGGTTAAAAGTTGCCTCTTTCAGTTCCGTGATCACACAGAAAACAGGGTCACAATGACAGACGTGTTATTAGGAGTCATTCTTTGTTCCCACTACACTTCATAAACACTTTTTCTTTCCAGTTTTATACTGAATACTGAAATGTCTGCATTTGTTGAAACCATGACTCATTCAACCAGTAGAGGCTTGTTTTTAACGTTTACTGAGCAGCAACCTTCAAAATATATGCCAGGTGTTCACAGTAGAATTAAAGTTATTAGGTGGCACTGGATTCAGCTGCAGGTTGTGCTGTGCAAACACTGACCTTCTAGTTTATAGTTGGGTTTCTGTGAATGTTTTTATAGTCAAAATTTTTTATATCTACTATTTATTGTGTTATTGTGTTCTCCTCATTCTCCCAAATAATTGATAAGTACTGAAAAAACCGTGAGAGTGACACAACAGTTTCTTGTTTGAAGAAGATGGTCAGTTGAGTTCTTCCGCTGTGGAGTTTCCCATCTTCTTCTTCCTGGTCCTGTGTGTGTGTGGGTTCCCTCAAGATACTCAGTCTTTCTCCCCCAGTCCAAAGACATGTATATAAGGATAACTGCATGAATGGCTGTGGGCCTCTCTGAGAAAGAAGAGAAGAAGAAAAAAGAAAAGAAGAAGAAGAAAATGGCAGCTGACAAACCGTATCCATGCAAACGCTACACAAATGCAGGTGTAAACACAGCAGGTTACAGAAACAACAGAAGTAAGATCCAAAGTGTGAGTAACACTGTTTGTGTGGACTGAATAACTTCACCACACCCTGAATATGAAACTGAGCTGAGCAACAACTTCTGCACCTCATTTCTGCTTTTCAGATCTTCACATCTGTTTTAGGAACCCATCATCACACTGAGCCACTTCAGTGCACATCATCACTGAACACATTGTGATGTTTTTAAACCCACCTGAACCAAAGGACTTGGTTTGTTATGTTCAGAAAAAGAGATCCTGTCAATTAAGACAGAGACAGACAGTGAAAGTAACAGACTGACACTGGATCAACTACAGCAAAATGAAAGCAAACACTGAAAAAAGGAGCAATAAGGAGAATCAGAAGTGGCGAGGACGTTGATTTTAGTGGCTTTAAAAACAAATGGTGTTAGCAGTCGTTACCAGGGATTTTGTGGTTCTGTGGTTCCACCTCTGCTGCTTCCATGAATAGCAGAGCGGGTTTGTGGCTTTCTCCTGTGTTGATGTTGTTCTGTAAGTGGGCCATGACTATCAGGTTCAGAGCTAACGGGTGATGGTCATTCATGCTTTTTACTGCTGCAATCATCGTACATGTCTTAAGGCACACTGGCACCAAAGCCTGGGAGAGTGAGATGTTATCTGAGTTTATGAGCACACTCTCTTGTATTATTCTGGCCTGCTGCTTCATGGGGGCTGCTGCACTGCAGTGGCCTCGTCTTCACGCCCTCCAAAGCTATTAGCCTGCTATTTGTTGTATTTAGTGTGAAAATAAGATCCTTATAATTTAATTCATTCGAACAAACAGATTTCACACTTTTGTGTTATGAGTTTCACCAAGTCCTCCAAATTTGGTGTTTCAAGTAAATGTGTACCACTGTGGACAGTAGAGGGCAGCAGAGTGCCTACCATGGGACTGCAATAATGATATGACTGTATAAGCTTGCCTTTCTGACCAAACTGATCAGCTGATTGGCAGCACGTTTCATCTACTCATTCTTTCTCCTTTTTTAAGGGACGTTAATCTTTTTTCATATCCACTGTTATAATTGCACTGAACTGTTTCCAATATGCTGGATGATAGTCTCTATTAGGTATGTCCTTATGAAGTTATATTTGTTATTCATTTTATCTATTTATTTTCATTTTTTGACTTATTGTCATGACAGGTTATTGTCATGCACGTGAGTAGATGGGCAAAGTTTGCTGACCTCAGCTGGCCAGTGGCTTCAAACCCAGGACTTTCTTGCTGTGAGGCAATGGTGCTAACCACACACCACACACCATTGTTAAGGCCTGTGAGCTGGTTGTAACAGTGCAAAGAGAAAATATTCAGTCAATGATCATGAGTAGAACAAAATGCAGATTTAGGGCAGAGACATGGACACAAGCTTCAGTTTTGGAGGAAATCACAACATTTACTTGTATTTCTGTAATACCTTTAATCCCAGTGCTGCAGAAAACCTAAAATGAGAGGGTTCTGCACCCTTGTGGAGAGGTGACTGGGAGGTCCCAAACTCTCTGCTCAAAGCTGTTCGCTCCCAAAGACGATGATACTGGCGTAAGAATACTTGACATTTCTTTAAATTACTGCTAAACTCTAACACAACTCATTGAAACATGTTATATTTTATCTGCACAACAATGTCATTTTGTGACTTTTCTGTTGTTTTGTGTTCCTGGTTTTGGAAGAATACAAAAGTTTCTAAAACAGATGGACGACTTCTGTAAAATATTTTTTCATTTGTGATCGACTAAGTAACTTTTTTTTTCTTTTTGTTCTTTTTATTTTCAATTAATTATTTAATAAGAACCTTAATTCTGAAACTTGGTGGGAAACGTTTAGGAGACCTAAAAGAAAATGGATTTCTTCCAAAACCATAAAATTACAGGTTATCATTGCTAACATCCTTTATTTTTACAGCAACTACAATACATGTCCCCACCACTATTTACTCTCCTTATTTTGACAGTTAAAGACATCAAAAAGTCTCACCATCTGCAGTGTTGTTAGTCTGTTCAGTGATGTTCTTTGCAATCTTTATGGAAAACTGAATTAACCTGATGACC